TAAATTAGATATTAGCCTAGATTAGATTATATCTCTGCTATCATATTATTCAGATAGGAATCTCTGTGATTGCAGTGCATTCATATTATATTGTATTACAATATAATATAATATAAATACACTGCACATTATTATTAATATTAATATTCAGATAGGAATCGCTGTGATTGCAGTGCATTTATTATATTATATTATATTATAACATTACATTACATTACATTATATTATTAACTTAACTTATATTATATTATATTAAACATTTTACAAGAAAGTTAGCTTTTATTTGTTTGAAGTTGGCTGTTTTTTAATATTTACTTTAAGAAGTATTTCCCTTGGCTGAGAACAAAAATGTATAAGTTATGTACTATATGCATCTATACATATTTTTTCACTCATTATTAGTATTATTATTTTAATACGTCACTGTACCGCACCTTAATTAATTCTTTCCCCTAATGATATAATTACATAATATATGCAATAATATTAAAGCCCTTTAGACACTCCCACTTAACTAAAGAGATTTCAGTCCCCTCTAAATCAATAGGCCTACGTGACAGACTGGAAACAAGAAAGATGAACACCTAAACAAAACAGAAACATACAGTGGGCACTTTGATTAGATGTATAGCTAGTTATGAATGTTGGTATGCAATGATATTTGATACTTTTATCTGTGCATTGCTGGCAAGGTTCCATAGGCAAGTAAATAAAAAAAAATAGGTAACAGAAAAGCAGAATCGGCTGGAGGCACGAGGCTGTCAGCCGCGCACTCGCGATGGATCCATAACAGAGGACGTGCAAGAGTTCATCACGCTGTGGTCAATGATAAACTAGGTTACTACAACACAGGACAGAACAGATCGTACTCAACTGGTTACTGTCTTGTAAACAGTTCCCTAGAGTGACGTAGGGCAGCTTGTAGGATGCGAAATTGCAGTGGGAATATAAAGATCATTCTGATATGTGGACAGGTTTTCTACATCTATTTCAACACACACCTATTGACAAACCCTTTCTGACTCACGTGCGACTCATCTCGTACTATATTCCAGTCTAAAGAACAGTCATAATAGGAGTTTGTGAATTGCACTGAACATTTTGACATATTCATCTGTATGATGAATGTAAAAATATAAGCAACTTTAAAATATTTAAAGCTACTTACAGGATAAATGTTTCGCAGGGTTGTGTTTATAGGTGCTCTTATATCCAGTACAACTTAGACGAGTGCTGTGAGTAATCCCGGAGTTTCTTCATAAAACTTCCACAACAACAAATTAAACAAAACGCACGTGTAATAATATATTCTCCCGCTCAACTTGCCGCTTTCATCACAAGCAGCGAGCTAGAAACTATTTATAAGGACTGTCTACGTCAGACCGTAGGCGCCGCCCACTGTCTTAAAGGCGCCGTTTTGTGCTACCTTATATGGCTTGTGACAAACAGCACGTTTTGAGTTAATATGTATTGAAGTATTTGACGTAAAACGCAGCAAGTTTTCCTGTATTGACAAAATTATACCATTTCAAATTCCAAATTCAAATTGCTATAAAGTCCTTGAGATAAGCTAGCAATGAAGTAACATTCATATTACGTTGCATGTTTTGGAGGCTCAAATACAGTGTTGCCATGTCCAGGGCCGCATTAAGACCGCACTGGGCCTCGGGGCTATGACTTACTGCAGGGCTCCCCATCACAATAATGAGATATGTATATATATATATATATATATAGGGTACAACGGGGCTAAAAGCCCACCTTAAGAAAAAATGTGCCATTCACTGCGCCTAAAATGTATAATTGCAGAAAAAATATATACGTTGTATTGAACATTAATGGAGCAACATATTTTGTGTGAAAATAAATCATTAAAGTTGTTTATTTTGTTTAAAAATCGTATAAATGTATGAGGTGGCAAGAGGGGTAAAAGCTCACCAGCATGGGGTAAAAGGCACACGGTATTTATACAAATATATATTTTTTAAATAATGTCTAAGTTAATACTTGTTCAAAACAATCACTTTAGCAAAGTTTGTACTATTTTCTGCTTATTTTGAAAAATAAAAGTATTAATTTTTTTTCCAATAAATATGCTGTCATTAAAATGTGTTAATATAAAAAAAATATATTTTAAAATACAGAAACAAAATCTTAAAATTTGTTTGATGATCTGAATCTTTTAAGTGTGACAAATATGCAAAAAATTTAAAAATCAGGAAGGGGGCAAAAACCTTTTCACAGCACTGTAGCCCTGAAGGGTTTAGCACCTCAGTTCTTGAACGAGGTCTTATAGTCCAAAACTCTGGCCATTTGATAATACCTAGAATATTAAAATCGACTGAGGGTGGTAGATTATTTTCCTATTTAGTGCCCAAACTCTGGAACAGACTTGCTGGTGTTGTTTGGGAGGCAGACACACTCTGTCAGTTTAAATCTAGATTAAACACATGGGCATGTCTAGCTGTCATAGCATGTGGGCGTAGAAAGTGGGAGTGTGAGGGTAGACCTTTCTGTGGAGGTTGATCGTTTCCGCTGGATCTTTCTTCCATATGGAGATGTGTGGTCTTGAATCACTGCTCTAGAACGCAAACAACTCTGAGGCTGTTACTGAAAAGGGTTTTACTAACGTGTAATGAATCATGTCCACTCCGGTCACAGAAGACGGCTTCACATAATCCATTAATAAGACTGAATAAAACCTTCAGACTCAGACACACATTTAATCACTCTGACAAATCACATATGGCAAACAGAGTCAAAATCAAATTCAGCATGCTAACTTAACAGATGAATGTTTGAAATATAAATCATTGTGGAAAAACACCCCGCTCAGCAGCATGTTGATGTGCTGTTTGTGTCCCTGAAGCCTGTGATGATTGTTGAGAGAGGCTGGAAGCCACAGTGGGACTGAACTCCCAAGGAGAGGGTCAATTCATTTCCTGTCCCTGGTCCCACACAGCTGCTGATGCCATGCATCCCATGTGAACAACGTCCAGATAACTATATCAAAGTTGACCCACAATACCTCAGGGTATTTCAGAGTATTTCTATGTAATAATATAAGTTTCCAGATAATCTTTATATTATATTATATTATATTATATTATATTATATTATATTATATTATATTATATTATATTATATTATATTATATTATATTATATTATATTTTATATTATATTATATTATATTATATTATATTATATTATATTACATTCACAAAAACTTTAAGAAATCTTAAAATAATTTTTTTGGTCATTCTGATGTGTATGTCTGATGTGTATGTCTTCATGTTTCTTTTTCTATTTTTAATTCTGTTTTCTATTATTCAGATTCTAAAAATGACCTTTCTCAACTGATTGCTCAACTCAGCATGATCATAAAAATGACACACAATCTCTGCATCATCTTAATTAACAGGAAATGATTATGGTTTTATTGATCAGGAAGGAATGAACTAAAAATATCTTGCTAAAATCAGTGATAAGTATAGAAACGACACATGCTCTTGAAAATACTATAACTTCTATAGTTAAAGCCTTTGTTGTAACCTATGTCATTGTAGCTCTGTTCTAGTATTTTTTAAATATTTTGAGCAGCTTTTATTTGTATATTTTCATTTTTTAATTTAAGTTTTAGCAATTTCGGTATGTACGTTTGTCATTTTTATTAGTTTTAATCAAATCACTTTACTTTTAGTCATTTCAGTAGGCTACGTAAACTTATTTTCAGTTACTTGCCAAGGAAACATTTCTAATTTCTGTCTTAAGTTTAAGTTTTTATCTAAATAATATACATTTTATTTTATTTCAGTTACAGAAAACTATTTTAACAGTGTTAATTAGCAATAATAGCACTGGTTGTAATGTATTGTATCAGCAGTCACATAATATAACTATTGTGAGCAGCATCCAACATCGTAGCCTTGAGATTTAACCAACTTCCTGTGAAAGCCATGAACAAAAGGCACCCCGTGGGCCAACCCCAAAACCATTCTTGAGAAAGAGCTTATCTGGAATATTGGGCCTTCCTGGGAGTGAGCTGTAGGTGTGTGGTCAACATGAAGTGCTCCCAGGTAGGTGAACACAGTGCAGAGCAATTTCTGAAAACCACAAATGATTTCTACAGGAACTGTATATCTGAATGCAAATTCATCCAAACGCCAAATGAACCCATGTAACCGCTATTTTAGCCATGCTTATCTGAAGCACAGCGCATGCATTTGGTGAACATGGAGGAATTACGTGCCATAAACTGCAAGGCAAATGTTTTACAAGGATGACTGCTCTCAGTGCATGTTTTGTCAATTCACCGAGTGCTTCCCTTGACATACACATACATCTTTTCACTCTCTGTTCTGGATGTTCCGCCCAAGTTCTCCACAACATGAATGATGGCAGGCTGAGAATCCTTTGCAAGTTCACTGGAGAGCAATAGGGAAAGGAACAAGCAGGTGACTGATAGTATTTCCTCTGTCCTGATTATGTGCTCCAGAGATACTCTTTATCTCTAGAGGCAACTGAAGAAAACAACTGAATGGAAATGACATTATAGCATGGGAGGAGATCTCTGCTTAAAAACATCCACATACTAAATCGATAAAAATCTTATATTGTAAAATAATAAAGTTCTTATCTGCATCCAAAACACTTTGATCTCATCTCTGGATATCTCTGGATAAAATATAATTTTTATTGTTGTTTCTGTTCATGTTTTAGGTGTTGATTGCAGAAGGTAGTCTGTCAAACACTGGAACCATTACTTTTACCCCTTTTACATGATAGGTGGAGGAACCTGACAGGGCTGTTGAGTAGCTTTCTCTGTTGTTGTTTTAATGGGTCATAGTGGCTCAGATCACCCACTGCATTTTTTCTTATGAGTAAGTCTCTTTGTAAGCAAGCGCTTGCAGTGAGCTTCATTTGATAGGCGGGGTCATGCAAACACACTGCTTGCCCCAGTCACTCCATAGCACCACTGTACCGCTGCATCTCACACAATCTAAACAATCTATTGAAAGAGATCAAATAGCTGAGAGATTCAAGAATTGCCGTTAGATAGACTTATATCAGAATATGATAATAATTTTTTTAATGAATTAACTAATATGTTGTTATATACATAAACAGATGTTCAGTAAGATTTTTATTTATCCAGAGAAATTAGTATTTATTCAGCAAGAACCCAATAAATTAATCAAAGTGACAGTAAATACATGCTGTTCTTTTGAACTTTTCACTCATTGAAGAATCCTGAAATGTATCACAGTTTCAAACAGAAATATTAAGCAGCACAACTGTTTTCAACATTGATAATAATAAGAAATGTTTCTTGATCATTTTGACATATTACTTGATCTGACATATTAGAAATCAACATATTAGACTGATTTCTGAAGGATACCGTGCACACTAAGAAAAGTCTGTAAAAATACAGTCTAATGTGATATGAAGAAATTTTCAATGTCGTTTTTTTTAGCCGTATTTAGAATTACGCATTGCATTGTGTTGTGCTTTATGGTTGAAGGAAATTTAAGAGAAAATGTACTGGTAATTTTCTGCTCTGACATCTGTTTTTCAACAGATTTTTTTCTTACAGTGTGAGACTGAACACTGCCATCACAGGAATCAATTATATTTACATATATTAAAACAGAAAACAGTTATTTTTAATTGTAATAATATTTTACAATATTATTGTTTTACAGAATTTTTTGATTAAATAAATCCAGCCTTGGTGAGCATAAAAGACAAAAAAATCTTTAAAAAATCTTACCGACCCCAACCTTTCGTACGATAATGTAAATACATACATTATATTACAATAACATTAAGGGGATAGTTCCCCTTAGTCATGATACTCTCGTGAACGCGCGTCGAAGACTGATACGGAAGAGAAGAAATTGTTGAATAAAGTCGTTTTTTTTTTCTTAGCGCACAAAAGGTATTCTCGTAGCTTCATAAAATTATGGTTAAACCACTGACGTCACATGGACAATTTTAAGGATGTCCTAACTACCTTTCCGTGTCTTGAACGTGTCAGTTGCGTTGCTGACAGAAAGCTCTCAAATTTCATCAAAAATAACTTAATTTGTGTTCCGAAGATGAACGAAGGTCTTACGGGTTTGGAACGACATGAGGGTGAGTAATCACAAAATTTTCATTTTTGGGTGAACTATCCCTTTAACCAGGATCAATGAAAAGGTATAAAAAAAAATATGCTGTAAGAAAGTGTTACTCATTGTTATTTCATGCATGATGAAAACAGCCGACATGTCCGACATTTCAGGACATGTCGCAAGACAAATTATACCAAAGTTGGAA